CCTAAATAAAAAAAATATACTGTAGACATCATTATTTACAACACAAAAACAAGTTTCAGATTCTTTGTAATTATTGCAGCATATGCTACAGCCACTCCATACATTTCAATGCATAGTTAATATTCATACCTAAATAAAAACATTTTTTACACCGATTACCCATGTATTTAAAAAAAATGTGCATGATGAATAATGGTGGGAACCTCTCACCAGTATAACCAACCCTCATGCATCAATTTACAATGTGAAAGCAAAATAAATGCAAAACCAACAAATTGAAGCATATGAATGATGGTGAGAACCTCCAGTTGCGAATTACGTAAAAACACTTATATTGTGAGATCATAAATGCAATCTCTTAACCACTTGCCCTCCAGAGGATTTACCCCCCTTCCTGACCAGGCCATTTTCGCAATACGGCGCTGCGTTACTTTGACAATTGTGTGGCCATGAAACACTGCACCCAAATGAAATTTATGTTCTTTTTTATCCCACAAATGTAGCTTTCTTTCAGTGGTATTGGATTGCTTGTGTGTTTTTTATTTTTTTTTGCGCTGTAAGCAAAAAAATTGCCAATTTTGAGAAAAAAAAACTATATTTTTTGACTTTTTGCTATTAAACATGTCCAGTAAAAAAATGTAAAAATCAAATTTAATCATAACTTTAGGCCAAAATATATTCTGCTACATGTCTTTGCTTTGTAAAGTAATTGGTTTACGTGAAAGTTATAGTGTCCACAAATGGCGGTATATACTGGAATTTTTTTATTTTTAATTTTTTTAATACTAGTGATGGCGGCGACTTATTGTGGGACTGCAGTGGGCATTCTGACACGGGGGGGGGGGGGGGGGGGGGGGGGGGGGACTAACTGTGACTGAAATCTCCAGTGAAACTAATATAGTGATCAGTGCCAATAAAAAGCACTGACGCTGTACTAATGGCACTGGGCAGAAATTGGTTAACATGAGGGTTGATCAAAGGTTAACTGTGTGCTGTTTTACTAGGGGCTGTGTGTTAGTGCTTCACTGTAATCACAAAATTGCCCTATAGCCCTTTCCAGCCTTGTGGAGGTCCACAATTTTGTCTCTGGTGTCTTTTGACAGCTCTTTGGTCTTGCCCATGGTAGTAGTTGGCGTCTGACTGACTGTGGGGTGGACAGGTGTCTTTAAAGAGCTCAGACAGGTGCTACTAAGTTAGATAATGAGTGGAGTAGAGGTGGACTTTTTAAAGGCACACTAACAGGTCTTTGAGAGCCAGAATTCTTGCTGTTTCTTAGGTGTTCAAATACTTATGTTCAGCAGTGCAAGACAAATAAATTCTTTAAAAATCATACAATGTGATTTCCTGAATTTTTTTTTTAATTCTGTCTCTCAGAGTGGGAATGCACCTACAATGTGAATTTCAGACCCCTCCATGATTTCTAAGTGGGAGAACTTGCAAAATCGCAGGGTGTTCAAATACTTCTGTTCCTCACTGTATATCCGTGGTTGAGTTTACATCAAAAATACTTTTACAAAACATATTGTATCAAAATTTAGAAACAAATACAACATCACCACCAGCTTTATTTACCACCACTCAATTAAAACCTGCAGCAGTGCAAACAAACAACAAACAGAAAAAGCATAAATTTCATCCGGATGTCAAGTTGTTCTACACAGAAAGATACACCACGGCAAAGCTGTATATCCACATGATCAATTATGCAAAATTCATATAAAGGGTGACATGTTAAATGTGTGTAACACTCTGCTATAAATGTTTGATGCAGGATGTTGAAGCCAACACAAGATTTCAGTGTCCTGCAGAACAGGGACATTCTCTTACTGAAGAACAGTTCTATGGAACTTGTATGCTGAATGGCAGGAGCAGTGCAATTAGAAACAACATGTCCCAGAGGAGCTGGCATGTGGGCAGGAGCATATATATGTAAAAGCCCGGGAGATTGGACAGGAAGTGAGAGGCAAAAGATCTAGATAGAGGAGTGTGTTGATCACTGGAGCCAGACCAAGCTGCAGGAGAGAGAAGGGAACCATAAGAATCTGCTGATCACTTAACCTGCCTCTTGATCCAAACAGCTGATCTTCCAGCAGGTGACCAGATGCAGAGCTGCAGGTGAGACCGGAGAGTTCGTGTGGGTCCCATCTGGAAAGAGAGAAAGATTGCAAGGATCCGCCAGATGCCATTCCTCAAGTGAGAGGTGCCAAGCTTTGCCTAGGGAAAGGAACATGGACACTTTCTCCATAGTTGCTATTTCTCCCACAATTGTATACAGTCACTATAAGCTGTGGCCTAGTTCCTTCAGCTGCTGCTGCTGCTTAACTACACTTGACACAGCCTTGACACCAGCACAAATAGCAGGACAGCCATTCCTCAGGCCGAACCCAGGACATGTCACATCATCAATTTACCCTTTCTTAAAGAGACCTCCTCCTATTGTGCCAATAGTCTTACAGTCCAGAGAGGAGCTACCCTTTATAAACAACCACTCCTGCCAGCCCACCATTCTTTCTTCTTCACATCTACTTACTAGTGACTTGTGCACTTAAAAGGGACATTACACCAGTTCACTGCCACTTTCAAGGGGAGTGCTGTTTCTGCTTTGCCTAGTTTCATTGTTCTTCAGAGAATCGCTATTCACACTTCTCATTGTGCACCAACTGGGCCCCATCATGTGTGTAATAGTATCTTCATTGCACTTAAGGGACATTGGTTACTTTAGAGGCAAAGAGCTCTTTTATTTCAGGCTACATCCCTGCCATCTGGTCCTGAAGGCCCAGAGTGAGCTAGCCTTGCCTGTTTTGATATCTCTCTATTTGTGGTTCTGTGATAAGTGTTGTCTTTTCTTTGTTTACAGTTAACACAAGTAACAACTGACTGTGCATATGCTTATTTGTTTATGCTGTGTAACCAAACTACATTCAAATCTGCTATAAACCTCTTACCAGTTTACTCCAATCAGTGTGTGAGTTCATTTCCTGGTGGTAATCTAATCCGGTTAAAGTGGAGTTCCAGTTGATTTAAAAAAATGAAATGTCAGCAGCTACAAAAACTGTAGCTTCTGACTTTTAAAATACAGATACTTACCTGTCCCTCGTTCCAGCGGTGTCCTCACCATGGCTGGTTGCACCAGCAGTCTTCTCTCTCTGGTGCCGGCTTCTTCAGTGTGGGCACCCGACTGTGACAGCTTGCGGCTTCACAGCCGGGTGCCCACTGCGCTTTGTGAATGGCCCCGTAGTCTTCTGGTACCTGACACTTATCCCAGATACAGGGAGGGAGGGGGTGGACAACTTCCGCTTCCGATCACCCTTAGGCGATTGCAGCGGAAATGGGTACCTGTCAAATTCGGGTACCTGCACCCTTCCCCCCCCCCCCACCCCCAAAGGTGCCAATCCTTAACGGGAAGCAGGGGACAAATACTTATAGTGGAACTTCCCCTATTGAGTGGAGCTCCGCTTTAAGTGTACTGTGGTGTCAGCAGGGGTTGGGCTTTCAGAGAGGGATCCAGAACAGGAAGACTAAAAATAATCCAGTAACTCCTAAAGGGGTAGTGCTACATGTATAGAGCCCTTGGGTACTCGAGCTAATAATATCCCCTTGGTCTGCAATAACTAAAACTAACTGAGTTGAATGAACTGACGACGATAAATAATATTGTAAATCATGCATGATCCACTATTGCTAAATTCCAGCAACCTAATAGAATTATTGAGAGTCCATCCAATGACTGATATGGTATAAATATGAATTACTGCAGTTCAAACTAGGAATCAGGGTTTAATTACTTTATTAGGCAGCAATCACCTAGTACATGGTTAATTAAACGATGGATAGATGTGCAAGCAAAGCTGTCAAAAGACAGATGCATGCCAATAAATGGAGTGAAAGGAGGGAAAGATGCAAAGGCATGTACGTAGCAGTTAGTAGCAATAGTTAGTCAAAGCTAACAATGTGGAATAACTGAAACAGTGTCATCGCTGAAGCAGAATTGTGGCTGTAGAGCAAACATTGTCACATCGCTGTACATGCAATTCATAAAATTGCCATGCTCCAAGATCTCTTGCAGGTTACCCTCCTAGATTGTAAGCTCCTAGAAGCAGGGCCCTTGAACCCCTCGTGTATTGTATTGTTACTGTATTGTCTCATGTACTGTCCCCAACTATAATGTACAGCGCTGAGCAAACTTTTTGGCGCTATATAAATACTGTATATTAATAATAATAATAATCTTCATTCAGCCAGCATGAAAATCCACTACTTTAAAGCAACTTCCTAGTGGTGCACTTTACCGCACTCCAACTCGATCCCTCAACCATTTTCTTTGTGAGCATCCAATAAGTTGTCCTCATTGACATCGCTGTAATCACAGTCCATGAGCTCATTAGCAGAGCCAGCACTTATCGTTCATCCTAGATTTATGGCCAGAGTATGTATTGTTCGCCGTGTCACAGCTGTGGCTACCTCCAAAGCACTCACTGATCGGGCATCGTGCAAGTGGCGTCACATGACGTTGATGAGTCAACTTGTTTTGCTGGAACGCAGTGTAGCTTTGTCTGGACGAAATTACCGTATTTTTCGCTCCATAAGACGCACTTTTTCCCCCCCAAAAAAGGGGGGAAAATGTCAGTGCGTCTTATGGAGTGAATATAAAGCGGCCGGTCCGGTATTTTTGCGGCCACCATGTCAGAATACCGGGCCGGCCACTCAGCTGTTGTCTCCTGCAGGGCCTTACCTGTTCCTCGCTCCAGCGCTGCACAGTCTTCCCGCGCTGGCTTCTGTGACAGCCGGGTGCCCACTGCGCATGTGCTGCGCTTTGTGAATGATCCGGTGTCTTCTGGGACACATGAAAGGTCCCAGAAGGCACCGGGCCATTCACAAAGCGCAGCGCTTCTCGCAGTTGGCACCCGGCTGTCAGAGAAGCCGGCCCGGGAAGAAGAGGGAAGGCAACTCCGCGGAAGTGGGAGCGGGTACCTGTCAAATTCAGGTACCCGCTCCCCCTCCCTCCCCAAAGGTCAGCAGTCTTCGGTCATCTCCTGCACTGTGTCCGCAGTCTCCGGTCATCCCCTGCACTGTGTCCGCAGTCTCCGGTCATCCCCTGCACTGTGTCCGCAGTCTCCGGTCATCCCCTGCACTGTGTCCGCAGTCTCCGGTCATCCCCTGCACTGTGTCCGCAGTCTCCGGTCATCCCCTGCACTGTGTCCGCAGTCTCCGGTCATCCCCTGCACTGTGTCCGCAGTCTCCGGTCATCCCCTGCACTGTGTCCGCAGTCTCCGGTCATCTCCTGCACTGTGTCCGCAGTCTCCGGTCATCCCCTGCACTGTGTCCGCAGTCTCCGGTCATCCCCTGCACTGTGTCCGCAGTCTCCGGTCATCCCCTGCACTGTGTCCGCAGTCTCCGGTCATCTCCTGCACTGTGTCCGCAGTCTCCGGTCATCTCCTGCACTGTGTCCGCAGTCTCCGGTCATCTCCTGTACTGTGTCTGCAGTCCATTGGTTCGAATATTTTTTTTTCTTGTTTTTCACCTCTAAAACCTAGGTGCGTCTTATGGTCAGGTGCGTCTTATGAAGCAAAAAATACGGTATGTTTTTTCTGTTTCTTGTTTGTTTGTCAGCGATGCAGTGCAGGTTTTAATTAGGTGGTGGTAAATAATGCTGCCGGTGATGTTATTGTATTTTTTTAAATTTTGATACAATATATTTTGTAATAAAGTATTTTTGATGTAAACTCAACCACAGATATTTATCACTATTATTAGACTCTGACATAAGGCTCCATACAAACTGGGCATTTTGATAACGCTGGTAGCATCAGCTGTGTAAAGCCACGTTAAAAATGTGAGTTTTTCAGCTTGTTTTAGTGTTTTTGCATTAGCATTTAACGGCATTTTGACGCGTTTAGCAGCATTTTTCCGCATTTGCGGTTTTTTAGTGTTTTTTTACTGAATAAAATTTTTGCCAAAAAAAATCCAAAAATGCCGGTTTGCGGTGTTTTACTGCGTTTTGTCGTGTTTTTCAGTGTTAGAGCATTTTTACAGCTAAAAAACTCCACTAGAAACCTACTAGTACTAAGTTTTTTTTCCAGCTAAAACACGTTCCTGCCAAAAAACATTGATTACAGTCTATGTGTGCATGGACACAGGATAACATGATGGGGAGTTTACTGGCTGTATAAAAAAAATGTCAAAAGCCCAAAACAGCAGCTGTAAAAACATCCAGTGTGCATGAGGACTAAAATGTGATGCTTGTCCCATGTCCAGAGTAAATGATTTGATAGAAAAGTAGGGCCCCACCAGGTACAATACCACCTTAAGTCTTACTAATGGGTACAGGCAGGGCTGCACCAGTCCTTCTTTTAGATTACATTAGGCCTCACCCTCATTCTAATAAATGATGGACCACATTTTAATCCCCATAAAGCATATACCTCAGTATATCTGGATGATGCTTTAGTTTCTAGTCTTGACTGGGATTTCCGCCACAGGAGTCCCAGACAGTTCTAGATTCCATTTGTAAAGCTAGGTTAACAGGCAAGCCCAACAAATGCACAATATTCCTCAATGAAGCCTGGACCCTGGGCTAAATCATTAGGTAGGGGTTTATAGAGCTACTGTGGACAAGATTAACGCAATTAATTGTTGGCCCAAACAGTTGAAAAAAAACAGGTTAGAACCTTTCTATGGATTGTAGGATACCACTAGTTGTAAATGGAATGAAGTAGCTGAAAGCAGTATTGTGTAAGGGGCCACCCCTAGCTTTATTCAAGAACTTCTAGTACAAACCGATGCATCTGATGTTGGTCTTACAACAGTCTTGTCTTAGGAAATTAATGGGGAACAACATCCAGTAGAACACCTCAGCCAGTATGCTGAGGTGTGAAACTGTGTTTGCTGCTTTGGTGAATAAAAGTGCAGAACAAACCTTCCTGGACTGTTCCTGGGTGTCCCTGTTTCCTTCATGGTTTTCTGCTGCCACTACCAGTTGATGAGCCTGTGCCTTAAGGAGACACTTTACTACTGCAAGCGGCAAATCACTAAATCAACTGAGAGATGCCACAGTTGACTGAGGCCCACCAGATCTCCTTAAAGGGAGAACAACAACATAATATACCATCAATGTGTTTCATGGTACAACAATGGTCACTTTCTCAGGAAGGTGTTTGGGAACACTTTAAAGCCGCAAAGTAACAGTCCTCTTTGGGACTCTTACAGTGTCACCTTAAGATCACCAGAAAGGACTGTTACAACAACGTGCTTTTAAATCCTAAATGCCCCAGCGAGGTCTGTTCTTCTGCAGTTTTAAAGTGTTCTCACACGGATTCCTAAGTAAGTGGCCATTGTTGTGCCACAAAACACATTGATGGCCTATTATGTATCTCCTGACCAATAAAGAATAGTTATTGATGTTCAAACCCCCTCAAGTATTCTCTTCTATTCAGGGCACCTCTGTGGACAACAAACTCTTTGGGGGGCCTATTTTGTCCCTTACAGCATGTACACTTATTGCAATAAAAATTAAATTTCATTATGAAATTCTTTAATGAATATCTAACTTATTTTTTCATGTCTGCCAGGAATTCAAATTTTAAATATGTACAGGGTTGAATTTACTAAAGGCAAGTGTCTTTTTCCCCAGAGCTTAATAAATGTGGTAAAGCTCTGCTGAGTTCCATGATCCAATCATGTGCAAGCAAAATGCTGTTTTTATTTTCCTTGCACCTGATTAGGTATTCTTTACAAAGCTTTACCACATTTACAAAGCTCTGGGAAAAATGGGTGCAATTGTACCTGCCTTTAGCAAATCCCCACTAATGATTTGTTGATTTACAGCATGTTTTAAAACATGGTGTAGTCACTAAAGTACTGCTTTAACCTACAGGTACAGCCAGAGAAAACTGATCCCTGGACAAAGATTACTGTGGCATTTGTTTGGTGCCAACATAAAGTTTGTTTTTTAACTCTTGTTTAATCATTTTCAGGACAACAAATAATAGTGTGCTATGTATCAGCAGTAACTGACTATATTTATTTAACCCTTGAAATCTTATAAAACAACTGTTGGCTAAATGGTTAGCATTTCTGCCTGGCAGTACTAGGGTCGTTGGTTTGAATCCTAGCTATAGCACCTCCTGCCTGGAGTTTGCATGTTCTAACTGTGCCTGTGTGGGTTTCCTCTGGGTACTCTAGTTTCCCCCCACACTCCAAAGACATGCTGGTAAGTCTATTGGATCCTGTATAAATTGGCCCTTGTATATGAATGGGAGTTAGGGACCTTAGATTGTACACCCCTTGAGGGTTAGGGACTGATGTGAATGTACAATACATATGTAAAGCGCTGTGTAAATTGAAGGCGCTATATAAGTACCTGAAATAAATACCATATTTTTTGCTCCATGAGACACACTTTTTTTCCCCCCAAAAAAGGGGGGAAAATGTCAGTGCGTCTTATGGAGCGAATATAAAGCGGCCGGTCCAGTATTTCTGCCGCCACCATGTAAGAATATCGGGTCGGCCGCTCAGCTCTTCTCTCCTGCAGGATCTTATCTGTTCCTTGCTCCAGCGCTGTACAGTCTTCCTACGCCGGCTTCTGTGACAGCCGGGTGCTCACTGCGCATGTGCGAGAAGCGCTGCGCTTTGTGAATGGTCTGGTGTCTTCTGGGATACATGCCAGGTCCCAGAAGGCGCTGGGCCATTCACAAAACGCAGCGCTTCTCGTGCATGCGCAGTGGGCACCCGGCTGTCACAGAAGCCGGCGTGGGAAGAAGAGGGAAGGACAACTCCGCGGAAGTGGGAGCGGGTACCTGTCAAATTCAGGTACCCGCTCCCCCTCCCTCCCCAAAGGTCCGCAGTCTCTGGTCATCTCCTTTACTGTCTGCAGTCTCTGGTCATTTGTACTATGTCCCTGGTATTTTCCCTGTACTATGTCCGCAGTCTCTGGTCATCTGTGCTATGTCCACAGTCTGTGGTCATCCCCTGTACTGTGTCCGCAGTCTCTGGTCATCTCCTGTACTGTGCCCGCAGTCTCTGGTCATCTCCTGTACTGTGCCCGCAGTCTCTGGTCATCCCCTGTACTGTGCCCGCAGTCTCTGGTCATCCCCTGTACTGTGCCCGCAGTCTCTGGTCATCCCCTGTACTGTGCCCGCAGTCTCTGGTCATCCCCTGTACTGTGCCCGCAGTCTCTGGTCATCCCCCCTGTACTGTGCCCGCAGTCTCTGGTCATCCCCTGTACTGTGTCCGCAGTCTCTGGTCATCCCCTGTACTGTGTCCGCAGTCTCTGGTCATCCCCTGTACTGTGTCCGCAGTCTCTGGTCATCTCCTGTACTGTGTCCGCAGTCTCTGGTCATCTCCTGTACTATGTCTGCAGTCCATTGGTTCAAAATATTTTTTTCTTGTTTTCCGCCTCTAAAACCTAGGTGCGTCTTATGGTCAGGTGCGTCTTATGGAGTGGGAAATATGGTAAACTATAAATAATGGGAACATACACAAATACAGACATAATAAAATGCAGTTTTAGCAAATCATATGCAGAAAGAGTTAAACCAGCCAATCATTTCTTTATCTACTGCATATATCGGTAAGTGCTTTTTAAAAAATGACTTAAACTGATGACGAAGGCTGGTAAATATGGTGGTCTAAAGACCAAAACGTACAGCAAAGCAGAAACTTTTTTAACACTGCAAATTGGCATGGGGACATACACAATACAAGTGCAAGAGGACCTGATTTGTACTTTACTACCGACTTCATCAGGGTCCAAAGTGCTTGTCCTATTACCCTGGTCGTGGCTCTTTTTGTGTTCTGTAGCAAGAACTTATGACCACTGCCAAAAATAATCAGCAGTTTTTTTATTCCAGGTGTATGAGACACTCAAATGGTTCAGCTTAGGTCTCTATTTCAGCAATAGAAACTACACGGAGGCAGCACAGTGGCTAAATGGTTAGCACTTCCACCTCGCAGTACTAGGGTCATTGGTTTGAATCCCAACCACAGCACCACCTGCCTGGAGTTTGCATGTTCTCTCTGTGTCTGCGTGGGGTTCCTCCAGGTACTCTGGTTTCCTCCCGTACTCCAAAGACATGCTGGTAGGTTAATTGGATCCTGTCTAAATTGGCCCGTGTATGTATAAATGTAAGTTAGGGACCTTAGACTGTATGCCCCTTGAGGGTTAGGGACTGATGTGAATGTACAATATATATATATATATATATATATATGTGTGTAAAGTACTGCGTAAATTGACAGCACTATATAAGTACCTATAATATTAATACACAGTTTTTTACCCTTTTGTAAATTGTTGTTTTTGTACCTACTCCTATATTTCAAGACAAATGCCAAGATTCACATATTGCAATTCATTAGTCAGACAATGAGGGAGGTTGAACTTTTGGATTCACTGCCTCATTACCATTTCACCTTGCTGTCAAAGTTTGGTGTAGGTAGGGTAGAAAGGTTGACTGGCTACTTATTTATAGGCAGCCAAGCAGTGTCTTGGCATTTTATAAAACTCATCCTCAGCCATGGTACAGAGGTTTAAAATGTATACCATATAGGTTTTGTGCATATCTGTAGGCATTTACATCAATGTTTTCTTTTCGATTATAACTTTATAAGAAAGCAAGGAGTCAATTGTTTGCTGTACCTTTGGATTATCAGTATGCCACACCCTGCAGTATATACACACTGGATTGTTAAACAATTGAGCGAGCAGTGTATTACGCTAGCACAGTCACCCTTTCAGATTTAGCTAATTTTTTTCTGAAATACAAAACCTCTGATCCACAAAGTAATTTAAATATAATTTTTTTTACATTTATAATATCTAAACTACTGAATTAATACAATGCACTGCTATGCATACAGGCTATACATATATTTGACAGCAAATTAATATATAATCTAATAAGATCATAATTAAAATACAATACTCATGTACTTACCTTGTTGATATCCCATAACACCACAATGCTTTGTAATCTGGCAAACTCAAGGGCTACAAGACGCCCAATTCCATGTCCAGATCCAGTAATTAGTACAATGTCTCCACTAACAGATTTCTTTTTATCTGAGATAAATAATTTGACAAATGCTTCCAGGTATGAGTAAATGGCAATGAAGAAAAGGGTTATAAACTCTAGAATGATAGTCATGTTTCCTCTTTGAGCCTAAGTATATAACGCCCAGATCGGAATCTTTTCTGCTGGATTTATAAAGCTTCCTTGCTCCAGTTACACAAACATGCGTTGGTGCCAATGATGTTACAAGAGCCAGGAACAACATGCAATACCTGTCAACAGCCACTGAATAATGAACATATGTGTAGTTTTCTATAGGCAGTGTTTGCTCCACTGGTTTTCATTTCAAGTTGATTATAGGCAATTATCTGGGTAATTTCACACAACCTATTATTGTCAAATTATTTAAAGGTACACAGCTGTCAAACTTGAAAATTAAACCTTGAAATGATTTCAAGGTGGACAACCTATCTGCACTTTACTTTGTTTTTTTCCCCTCTGGCATTGTTGTATTGCCCACCTAAGTCACTTTTCCCTGGTTATCTGAGAACAACTGCCTTTTTATGCAGAAGAGCTATTTCAAAACACACCCACTGCAGTCCCTGATCCCATAAAATTCAAACCTGTTTCAGAAGTTTGAATATGATTTATAATAAAAAAAAAGCAGGATTAAATATATCAAGCACAGACTTCAGGCTGCACTGGATTACTGAGAACTCAAATAAAGGTACGCCAAAAGAATATTCTGATAACTTATTTATTATTTATTTCAGGTACTTATATAGTGCCGTCAATTTACGCAGAGCTTTACATATATATTGTACATTCACATCAGTCCCTAACCCTCAAGGGGCCTACAATCTAAGGTACCTAACTCACATTCATATACAAGGGCCAATTTAGACAGGATCCAATTAACCTACCAGCATGTCTTTTGGAGTGTGGGAGGAAACCGGAGTACCCAGTGGAAACCTATGCAGGCACAGGGAGAACATGCAAACTCCAGGCAGGAGGTGCCATGGCTGGGATTCGAACCAACAACCCTAGTACTGCCAGGCAGAAGTGCTAACCATTTCCTGCAAATGCTCTTTAACTCTTAACTTCAGTGACTATATAATAGTTTATTTAACTGCATATGAGCTTGTGGAACATCATTGTAATTCTTCAGTTTAATTTGTCTTTTGCTTAAAATGAGTGTGTCATTGATTTAATGGAGTTTTACATTCAAGTCAACTTGGTGTGTTGAAGAATTGTTTATACAGAAAAATGGTCCCAACTTACATTTTTGTTTTAAATATAGCATTGTTCTAAAGTATTGTGATGTTATAAAAAAGGATGACATGTTGGTTTTGGTACAAAACAGCCAGTGTGTAGAATAAAAATGTGTTAGGAAAGCATCCTTCACAGTCCCTGACTTCTTAACCTGTAACTGAGGCTCACCCTTAGAGCCACTTGACATATTTCCACATTGGTGTGTTTGTTGATTTTTGTTTCTGAATTCCAAAAATTGCAATAGCATGTACTGCAAAAGCAGGGCTGGCAGAGTGAAAAACATAACAAAAAACAAAATAGAGATAATAATAAATCCTCCTGCGCTTATATGGATGATCGCTCAACTCAAGCTACTCTCACCCAACCAACCCAATAGGTGTATATACAACATGAAAAATTATGGTGTGGGTATGTGTATGTATCTGTTTTTTGCACATATCACTTTATTAGGTTGATTTTCCCCCCGGTTTGGGATTCACGTAAAGCTTACACTCCATTTTTTGTATTCTTTGGAGAATTTGTATTGTGTATTTTTGTTTTCACTGATTTAGGATTTATACAGGAGTTTTCCTGTTGTTTTCACTTTTCACTTAATTATTTCACCATTGGATCAGATCACTTCAGTTTTGCTATCTATTATTTATGTGTATGTTGTTTATATTCACTTCATTATTATGAGTTAACTGTTTAGTGCTTCACCATAATATTTTTTCATAACAAAAAACAAACAACAAATGCCAGATAACCACCAACCAATTTATCTCAATCCTATAGCGATCACTTTTACTAGGGAGCTTGGTCTGTTAAAGGACAGACTTGCTGGCTGAATCAAAAGGTGAGACTCAAGGAAAAAAACCCTAAAAAAAGAAACCAAATTCAGTCACCACATTCAAGGATAGATAAGCTGCAATATACACTGCTCAAAAAAAATTAAAGGAACACTTTTTATTCAGAGTATAGCATCAAGTCAATGAAACTCCTGGGATATTGATCTGGTCAGTTAAGTAGCAGAGGGGGTTGTTAATCAGTTTCAGCTGCTTTGGTGTTAATGAAATTAACAACAGGTGCACTAGATGGGCAACAATGAGATGACCCCCAAAACAGGAATGGTTTTACAGATGGAGGCCACTGACATTTCTTCCCCTATTCATCTTTTCTGACTCTTTTTCACTAGTTTTGCATTTGGCTAGGGTCAGTGTCATTACTGGTAGCATGAGGCGATACCTGGACCCTACAGAGGTTTCATAGGCAGTCCAACTCCTCCAGGATGGCACATCAATATGTGCCATTTCCAGAAGGTTTGCTGTGTCTCCCAGCACAGTCTCAAGAGCATGGAGGAGATTCCAGGAGACAGGCAGTTACTCTAGGAGAGCTGGACAGTGCTGTAGAAGTGTCAGGGCTCCAGGTATGACCAGAGGTGTGTGGACTGACACAGGGAAACGCAGGCTTCAGGTATAGTAAACAATATAATTTATTAAAGGTACAACACAAATACAAAACGCACAGTATAACAAAACCAAACCTCCAACTGATAACAGAATGTACACAGACAAGGGCAGTCAGGGCTGGTGAGGTGGAGTGGTCAGGCAGGTCGAGCTCACAGCACGGATTTCCTCAGGGCGCGGGGTCTAAGTCCCAGCCTGCTGTTCACCAGGGCCCCTGATGGTGGGGATGGACTTGGTGCAGACTGGAACCAGGTCGCGACCCCTGAGTGCGTCCGGCTGTGGTAGAGAGTACTGGCAGGGGAGTGCGGGAACGGAGTCTGATGGGAAGAGGCAGGCAGACTTACTGAAGTGATCCGTGCAGGATGGATGGATCATCGGGTGAAGTGAGCGTAGTCAGGCGGGCAGCGAGGTACAAGGAGCAGGCGGAAGTGGAGTCAGGAATAGCCGAGGTCAGGACAGGCAGAGTTCATGCAGAATCAGGATTAAGCAGGATCAGGCAGGAAGCAGACAGGATGCAGGTACAGGAGCTCATGGGAAACATACACCAAGGCCCTGAACACAGGCCTGGCCATTCCTTAAATACACCTGTGTAATCAGTTTCAGGTGCTGGCTCATTGTATGAGTGAGCCTCTGGTTGCTGAGAGCACCCGCTGGCCAGCCCTGGTACTGCAGCCCACAAGGCAGCTGAGTCCCGCCACTATTGGTGAATTCATTCCTGAGAGAGGGTGTGTTGCACTTGTCTGCTGAGCTCCAGAAAGGCCTGAGAAGCCTGGGGCTAAAGTGCCCTGCCCAGCCCAGGCAGGATGGCGGATCCTGGGCCTGGGTCCAGCGAGGAGAAGGCCCTGGAAGGGCTTAGTATGGTGGGGATGGACTTGGAGCAGGCCGTGACCAGGTCGCGGCCCCTGAGTTCACCCAGCTGTGGTAGAAGCACCGTTGGAGGTGTATAGCAGCTGAGAGTCTGATGTGAGGAGGTCACAAGAGCAGCGTCAGGCAGGCCGGGGTCGGTAACAGTGGTGGCGGCATGGTACAAAATCAGCAGGCAGAGGAATAAAACAGGTCACAAGCCGGGTTCGCTAACTGGAGATCAGAACGTGCGGGGTTAAGCAGGAGAATGGTCAGACAAGCAAGGGATCAGAGCAGGAGACAGACAGCAAATCAGGGTCAGCAACAAACAATCTACTAAACAGGAAACAGGTAAGACCATATGGCACTTGAGCATTGCAAGAGCTGGGTTTAAATAGGCCACCCAACTCCTGACAGGCGCTCCTGGGTCCTAGTGCCTGCCCGGTGCCGTCATTGGTGACAGGCGCGCCTGGGTCCTAGTGCCTGCCTGTATGTCTTGTCAGGATTCTACGCATGTGCAGATTCGATCGCCGAGGCGATCTTCCCATTCCCTGACAGTGTGTCACAGCAAGGGAGGTATGTGGCGGCGCTGCAGCGCCAGAGCGGCGTCCTAAGCGAGAAGTATCTGAATGAAGCGAGATTTAAGGCTGCAAAAAGCCGCAGTGTTACGGCGATGCGGGGTCCGGTGGAGGAGGCCTCCTCGGTGGAGGAATTGTCGGGGGAGTTGCTGGTGGAAGGCGAGCAGGGGCAGCCTGAGACCACAGCACCCTCAGAGGAAATGGCACCTAAAATGGAAGACAGCGTGGTCGCAGGATCATCAGAGTCCCTTCCCCCTGGGCAGCTGCCTGTGGATTGGGGGACCCAGGTGGAGGAGGCAGAGATGGCGGGCGGATTGCAGTTCCTGGCAGAGGCGGTTGCAGAGCTACGTGGAGCCGACTTCAGGTTTACGTCCGAGGACTCAGAGGAAGAAGCTGAAAGTGATGTCATCCCCCGCAAGCCGGCTAAGCCGGGTGGTGAAAGAGCATGCTGCCTTTGTCATGCTGCAACGCATCCCCAAGGACGTGTTGGCAAAGGCAGGGGAGCCACTGGAAGGGGAGAAGGAAAAGGTCTCTGCTGATTGTGTTGGTGAGATGGTTCTGGACACTGGGGGTAGCGGGTATAATGCCTGCAAAATTGTCTGAGGTGCAGGTTAGCCCTACAGTCCTGGCTAAGGGTGTTTCCCCTCCGGTGGTGGTCCCACTAGGCCCCGCCCCTTTGGGGGGCATGGTGACCTCTGGTGTGCAACCAGCAGGTCCCCCGGTTTCTCCTCAGGGGGCTCCAGGTTCTCAGGTCTAGGCTCCTGTGGGTCAGGCTCAGGTGGGTTCTCCTGCTGGTATGGGTGGTCCCCAGCCCCGGGCTACCCCAGGTCATGGCTCATCAGCGTCTGCCCCTTCAGTTGCTGCTGCTGGTGTAGTGGCTTCCCCTGGTCATGCCCCCTTGGTGTTGAGTGCCCCTGGGGCTACATTGGGGCTCAGTTACTCTGCTGCAGTTAGGGGAGGTCAGGGGTCAGTGGGATCGGCCCGGGCAAGGGCAGGT